AACGTCGAATCTGAATCACTTGAAAAAAACACGGGGGTGCTTAACTTTTTTCCAGGTGTATACATCTGCTTAAGATATCTCGGGAGACAGAGCTACCTTATCATGAAACAGTTGAAAAATTATATAACACTTACTGTCCCCAAATTGACCTGAAAGTTATTATGAAACCCAGTTTCAGACTAAAAAATTTTTTCTGCTACTAAGAATATTCGCAGACTGCCCATTGTTCACGTCTCGTCTACTTATACACGTGTGGAGACTGTAAGACCTCCTATATTGGTGAAACCAAACATCCCCTTAAAGTACGAACATGTGAAGACATGGGCATATCAATAAAAACTGGAAGAAAGTTTACAAACCCTCTCAACTCCGCTATCTATCACAGCACAATACAGAAATAAGACATTTGATTTTTCTCTCCAACTTTAAAATTCTCTCAACAGCCAAATGTAATACTGAACTTCTTATAAAAGAAGTGTTATATATAGAAACTCTTCTTCCGTCCCTAAATAATACAGTCTTTATTTTAATTTAACTATTTCGTTTGTGCTACATTTTAATTTTCTCATGTTATATTTGCATATTTAAATTATTTACTTTCTATGTATGTATTTCTATTGTCTTTAGAATTATTGTTTGTTTGTTTGTACCCCTAGATTACTGATGATGGAATTATGATGTTTCTGAAATGTATAATAAATGCTTCTAATTATCACATTTGTGTTTTGCTTTATCATTAAGTTGCATTTTCTGAAAAATGAGTAGATTAAAAGTTTGAATAAGTAATGAAAAATATCTTAGATGAAGGTTAAAGGAGAAATGTACGTGGAATTTTGCATATCATTTCACTACATGTACACAACTGTTTAATAACTGTAATCTGAAGTTATATTTGTACTACTGACAATGCAATATGTGTATTGTTTTCATAAATTGTACTTGGGTTAGGTAGTTATTTCTACTTGCTAACAGTGATACTGATACCTTAAACTGCTGCAATGCTGTAGTGCTCAAAAGATTTGATTTATTTATGAAAATAATTCATATTCAGAACCTATTTTTCATGGTATGATTCTTAAGGGAAAGATCCAAGAAAGTATTGAAAACTGATATCCTGGAAACACCAAAACTATGATAATGTGTTTTGCACCATTTATAGACTGTATAGTTTGATTTTTACATTCATTAAATACAAAAAATAAAAAATATTTTTCTAGAGATCCCAAATTTTACAGTTTGTATTCCGTTGTACATACTCTCAATTATTAGGATGAGCATGATGATGAGGATGACTGGAATCCTTGTAAAGCAGCTGGAGTATGTTTAATGCTGATGGCCACTTGCTGTGAAGATGATATAGTTCCTCATGTCCTGCCTTTTGTGAAAGACAATATAGCTAATCCAGCATGGCGTTACAGAGATGCAGCAATTATGGCATTTGGTATGTTTCATAAGAAATTTCTGGTTTTGAAATACTGATTTCTGATATTCTCCTGTTTATATAGTACAACGTTTTTAAACTAAAAATTACCAGAATGGGTCCAGGCATTTTCAGGAACTAAACTTAAGCTTGATTACAATAGCAATTTTATTTTTGAAATCCTTTATTATTAGACAGAGCTATATCAGTCCATCACTTATAAATTACTTTCTTAATTTTGTATGTGCTCACTTTTTTATGTAATGTAAATTAACTTAAATATTATCTTCAATTTAGATTTTGAAAGTTTGTTACTACCATCTTTCAGAAAAACCTATTCCAACAATGTTTTTACTTTTTGAAAGGTTTCCATATTACTAGATCATGTTAGTACAGAAGACAATTGAAAAAAATATCAATATTTATCATTTCTACTCAGAGTTGGATCTATCCTGGTTCTTAAACTATAAAAAGAAAATACAGACAGTTAGAGGGATTTGTGTTACAATTAAGATGTAAAGTTTTTGTTCCACTTTGAATAGTTGAAATATTGTTGAGACAACTATTCATATATATTTCAAATTACACTTACATCTACAGCTACTGATAGCTATTACTCGACTGCCAGGGTTTAAATTTTTGCCCAAAAAATTTCTTCTTAGAGGGTGCTTATTTACAGTCTAAAATGTATTTTAGGATTTTTTTTCATTAAATTCCTCTTTAAACTTCATTATATAATACAATTTTGTACAAATAATTGAATGTCATACTACTATTTGACAAAAATAAAGTCTGAAATCCAATAAAAGATAAGTTCTTTATGATTTTTTCAATTCACATATGTGATTTTGCCCTCATGATAAGATCAAAATGGCCACAGCAGGTAACGGGTTAAAGGGTATTTTTTGTTGGTGCTGGTATGTGGACGTTGCAGTCAGAGTTGTTTGCATTACATGTGCACAGGACTCTATCACTCCACTTCTGTCCTGCTATATCCTGATAGGCCTTTTCTTCCTAAGATTCTAGCAGCCAGAGAAGGAGATAAATCACCAATTATTTTGCCAGCTATTTTTTTACCTCTATGACCAATTGGACACAGATCATTTGTTATGTCCTGTCAGAGCTTTGAGGTGTTATGTGGCTCTCACTAACTCATTTTGATGGGATGAAACTCGACTCTTTATTCATTGCGATCCTTCAGTTCCCCAAGATTTATCCCCAATTATTTTGACAAGATGGCTTCGCAAGTTGAACCATATTGCTTATTCTGGAATTTATTTACAGGCGAGGAACTTCTGAGAGTCACGTCTCAACAGATTCATCATTTGAATTGCCCATTGGAGGATGTCGTATGAGCTGGTATGTGGCCTTCTCCCAATATTTTTTACTCACATTCTTTACATCATCTGTTAGTTTCTTCTTCTGAGGGTTTTCGACTACCACCTGTGGCTGTTTTGAAACATCTTCTAGATTATATGGAGGAGTGAGTATTTTTTGACCTTCTCTTGTCTCTTTCTTTCACTGGATCCCACTCTGTGGCAAGTGTTGCCCAGACAGGTGTGCTTTTATCAATCCAATTTCACACCAGC